CTCTTCTTTGGGAAAATGGAGCCATTCCTATGGTTAGAGAGGGAAGAAATAATACACTGAAGGGCTTGGGGTGGGTAAGGTGTACATTTGACATGTTTTTCTATTATTTTTCCATGGCGAGCCCACGTGCATTAGTGAGTGATTTCAGAGAGAAGACTGTCACTGTAGGGCTCTATTTGCTTGCTATCGATGATTATACTACAATTGCATGCATAGGACCAAAATAAGCAGATAAAAATAGAGCTTTGATTATGGTGAAGTTTCTTTACAGTAAAACTGAACCCAATGCGAGACTGTGGGAAGTCCTAATTTCAGCAACTCACTGACTGTTCATCACCCTTTCAGCCAGAGTCTCCATGATACATTTTGGGCCTTACCTCACACAACCCATTTTGGGTCTTTTAAAGAAAAGATACATGGAATGAACCTTAAAACTAGATAATATTAGGAAGCTAGTTTTTAAAAAACCCTCTTTATTTTAATGTATAAATTAAACACGGAGTCATGGTACTCTTCATCCCAGTTGATAGTTACTTTGTTCAAAGGAGTATTTTCAGAAACATACAATCATATTAAAGCTAAGGAACTTGCCCTATTGTTTTGTGAGTCTTAAGGGGTGTCCCAACGATTTCACCCCATATCAGGAAACAAGAGGAAAAATGTCTTCTGCCATTTCAAGTGCATACTGTATGCTAATCTATTGCTTTTCAAACCGTAGGTTATAGCCATTAAACTCTTTTGGAAATCAATTTGTTGAATTGCTCACTATTACTAAAAAACAAAACAGAATAAAACAGGAGCTAGAGCACATTACATTTACATGGTCTTTTCTGAAACTTTCTCTTCTGTTGTGTGTATGAATGCACTTTGGCCAAATCAATTCAATTCATCCTTCAAGCAATGTCAGGACCATTTAAAAGATTTGTCTCAAAAGGCCGTTATTGGCCTCAAACTCTTCTCCCAGTTCTTATGACAGACAGAATAAAGCCCACACTCTTTCAGTGTCATTCAAGATCCCTCACCCAGTTCCTCTCCCACAGCCCTCCCACTTAGCCTTTCATAAAATGACATCACCATCTTGTTACTTGCATGAGTATAAAACCAGGGGTGGTGCCCCACACCTCTTTCCAGTTCACCCTATCAGTCTTACCTCTTCACTCCCATTTGGTCTGATTTCATTCTGATCTGCTCATTTCAGAGCAGCTTTCCCTAATCCCCAGTGTGGATCAGTCTCTAAACCTCTCTCTAGGACATACAATCATCTTTATATATATATATTTTAACTAGAGTTTTAACTGAAATTATCTTGTTGATCCTTGTTGTAATAGTTTGGGGGATATTTTGCAAGGTGAAACAATATAATGTAGGATACATATTCTATAAGAGTATTTATAATAGTCACCCAAAGAATGATATACAAAAGAGTGCAGGAAATCTGTCCACACACTAAGACAAAGGAATCCAGCCGAGGGCCTGGATCCCACGGAAATGTCCTGCATGAGTCCAGCTGAAGATCTAGAGCTCATAACAATGCCTCCTACAAGTCCACTTGGAGGCCTAGAGTCCATGACAACGTCTCATGCAGGCCTGTTTCACAGATCTGTGCTGGGAAGACCCAAAGGTCAGTGGTGGAATCCAGGAAGTCTGTGCCAGGAGGATAAAGTATGTGTGCTAGCAGGCTGAGGGATCTTCCCTGGAGCCAGGAAGTGATGCACAAAGTAAGAACCAGAGCTCCCCTGAAGTGAACCAAAGCCATTCTCAATGCGGACAAGGTCCAGAGCTCCTTGGAGGATGAAAACAGCAAATTTCATCAGGAAAGCCAGCATGACAAGCTCCTCCAAAAGAACCAACAGTTCCTTACAGCTTCTACCAGCTCCCAACAGCCTTCCTCAGCTCCCAACAGCCTTACTTCTTCTCCAGTTCTGCTTCTTATGCTGCTGGCAACAGTCCTCAGGTGGGCCTCCCATGCCCAGCACCACGCTTACTCAGTTCAGCTGGGGGTTAGAAGTTGACCACCAGCTGTCAGTCCACCACACTTGTAAATGTGTTCTTTGTCTGTCTCCCCACCAGCACGTGTGCTCCATGGAGTAGGGACCTGCTGTATCTCTGGTGCTGACAGTTCTTGGTAGAAAGAGGCACTGCTAAATATTTACCAACTTTAAGAGTTCCTGAACTAAACTCCTTGCTTCCTGAATGCCTTTTCTGCCATCCTGTCTCCATATCTGCTGTTTTCTCTGCCGGAAATGTACTATTCATTCTTTCAGACTTCATCTCGTTTATGAAAAAGTTCCTAGTTGCTCTTGGGTTGAGTTCATGCTTGTTCTCGGTGGTGCAACAGTCTTTTGAAATTTCAATATTGCATCATTTTTCATTCCCTGCTAGACTGTGCACTTCCTTGGGGCAAGTCTGCACTTATTCCTGCTTACTGTCTCTTCAACTCCTAGCACATACTTGGTACATCTGGTTACTTAATAAATATTTGTTACATGATTGAATAAACAAGCAGATGATGAAGAAAGATGAGTATTTGTGGTGATGCCCCCAGACTTAAACTTAAATAAAATTTTGATTTGTAAAAAGGGAAAGATTGGTGTGTATGTGTGTTTTGTAGAACAGTGTGTGTGAGTAGGGTCAGGAGTTCAGGGTGAAAATATAATTATTCTGTGTAAAATACTTCTTATACAATTGGTTCTTTTTTAACTTTTATTTTTATTAGTACATAGTAGTTAACATTCATTGTGGGGAGTTGGTGCATCTTAATTTCCTTTTATTGTGATACTAAAGACTGAACCTGGGGTAGGTAAGTACTGTACTACTAAGGTCCACTTCTAGCCCTTTATTATTACGATTTTTATTTTAAGATAGGGCCTTGCTAAATTGTCTAGCCTGGCTCTGAACTTATGATCCTCCTGAGTAGCTGGGATTATAGGCATGTGCCACTATACCTAGCCAACAAGATGAATTCTTTTAAGTGTCAGGTTCTCTTAGTGCATTTACAACCTTATGCAATTCATCAGATTTCTTTTCCACATGGTTTTTCAGAGCAGAAGTGTTAGGCAGAGAAAGGGAACATTCTTGAAGTTAAAGAAGTTCATGTACCTTTGACTTCAGGGTACGACTTGACTCGTGCCTCTTTATTAGACTCTGATGACATGTCAGGAAATACAATTAATAAAAAAAGGGGATGGAGGGAGGAGAACAACTATCCTTGAATATTGTATATATTGTTCTCTGGATTTATACTTTTAAAAATAGAGACATTGCTAGCTTTTTACTATCTTAAGTAAAAGTGCTAATTTGGAAAGACTAAGTTACTTATAAGCAGACCTATTTTCCTCCCATTCTTTGTCTTTTATTAAAAGGTCCCCTCAGCTGCCTTCAGATTTTAGTGTTAGAGAATTCTTTGAAGTGGGGTGGGGCAGGGCAAGCATGGAGCTGAGATCCCTAAAACACTTAATGAAAAGAATTATCCCTTAATTGTGGGAAAATCCTCCTTTTTTCTGTCTTACCAGAGTAACGGGGAGTCCTTTTGGAACATGCTTTCCCCACAGCAGACCTAGGTTTGGCTTGCTTTGCGTTAATCCTGGCGATCAGGAAGGAAGGTCACCAGGTACACAATTCCTCCGCTGAGGTTAACAGATCGCTCTTTTCACATAAATCCTGACTGGTCAAACTAGATTCTGGCCATCTGTAGTTCCGTCCTGTGTCAGGATGACTGCCCCAGGGATGGGAATTTTGCTAAGAGAAAAGGTTAGTGCCTTGTGGAAACCCCAAGGAGAGGAGAAAATGGAGGTTCTGTGGGACATGCAGGGTGCAGGGGACCCCAAATCAAGGGAGATGGGGAAGAATATGACCATTGATGTTTGTCTTCTTCACTGTTAATCAGGGAGAAGTCTCCAGCAAACCGAGGGAGGCAAAAGACAAAGGAATTTTCTTAAAAAGGAACAAAGTAATGAAAAAGAAGCAGCAGTGCTTTTTATTTTATAAGTTAATTAAAAATCAGTTAAAAGACATAGAAAATTCAAGGATGTAAAACCACATCAAAACTACTTTGTGCTTGACACCTTGCCTTACTGAGATAACTAGATCTCCTGACTGTGAACGTCCCTGTTTAGATGGGGCCAGTCAGTGGGTCATCCTGTATGGGCAAGACAGGGTCCTGGGGCTCAGCAGAGGGACCTGGACATGGGCAACAGTGGTGCTTACGAAATGTATCCCTCCAGGTTTTATAGTAACTTGTTTCTACTCTCTCTACGGAGGATTCTACATGCTTATTTCCAGGTGCAGTCTGCTCAACTCTAATAATCTCAGAGGAAAAAAGAGGGGGCATGACGTCATCACATTTTATCAGGGTTTCTAGTGATGAGTAGAGACAGCTAATGTGCCCCGAGTTACAGCCTTGCAACTCTGGACAAATAACTTCCTATCTGTTTCCTCATCCGATGAATCAGACCAATTTTAGTTTCACCTTCTAGCGCACTGGTGAGAATTTACCACCACTGAGCTTCAATGGTAGCTATCGTGACAATAACGATCACAAACAGAGACTGATGTTAGGTCCTTTGCCTCTGTTAATCTTGTGCAATTAGTTAAAACAATGCTTTTCATGCATTTTCAACCTGTGTTCCAGCTAAGGCCATTGAGTTACAGAGAGGTTAACTAACTTGCCCAAGCTAGTAAGCTTCAGAACAAATGGGGTTTCATACTCAGGCTGATTGGGTAGCGAGGTCCCCCTGGGCCTCCCACACACCTCTGCCTTCCTGTGGGGCCTCCGGACTGGATCTCGGTCCTCTCAAAGCTCCCTCTGTATTCCTATAGCACTTCTAAAAGCCTTTACTGTGTTTCTATGGCAGCTTGCTGGGATCTTTCTGGGGAGTTTCCCGACATCCTGATTTTTATTTTTTCTTTCAGCAAGCTTCCCCCATTAATTCTTCCTTCAGTGTAACCTTCTTAGATTTCAGGACACGCCCCTGGCTAGGCCTGGGCTTACAGGGCCGCCTCTCCCCACCCCTTTCCTCTGCTTCACTTTAAGGTGTCCAGATGCCTCTTGTCCACTCCCTTTGCTTTTAGCCCTCAGAAGGGCAGGAAGAACCACGGCTGGGGCCAGAAAACATAGCCCTAGACTGACAGAGAAGAGTGCTGGGGAGCGGTGACTCCCCTCCAGCCCCTGGCTCACAGGGACTGTGGGTGGCTAAAGAAAACCTGTTCTGCTACTGGGAACATGAAGAACTGCTGGTAAGACTGGCACTCAGAAAGGGAAGTGAGGAGGCTGGGCTAGGGACCCTTGGAACCAGGGAGGTTGTGTCATTGCAGCGGTGGTAGAGAGAGGAAAGGAGAGGAGACAGTGGGAAACGAGGTAAATCAGAGCAAGCATGAGAGATAAAGGTGGGAAAAGAGAAGAGACAGACAGAAAAAGAGAGGCCAAAAACTGAGTAGAAAACAAAATACAGGGAAATAGGTACAGAAATTGAGAAAGTAAGATGGATAATATAATAGGACTGTGGGAGCCAGAAACTGGATAAATCACTGAATAAGGTGTGAAAAAATTTTAAATATCTATATTAGGATTTGGTCACCTACATTATCAGGTTTCCTAGATTTGAAAATATGAGTCGGTCCCTTTTGGAGGGATTCCTTCCTGTGTGAGTCATTTTTCTTCTTTTTTCTTCAGGACAATTTCGGTTTTCTTCCTTGCATGCAGTTTCCTGGGACCCTGGGCATCTGCAGCTGTCAAGCGTCGCCCAAGTAAGGGCCATAGTCTCTGGGTTTTGAAATATCAGATGTCCCTGGAAGCAAGTAGGGCCGGGACAGGCAGGGGTGTGGCTGGGAGAGGCACCAGGGTCCTTCAGATCTTTACTCTTCAGCCCACTTTGGGCTGTGGGGTAACCTAGGGGGGGTCTTCAGTGCTCGGGGCTGAGAGTGGAAAACAACGGTGACTACATATACAGGATGGTCAGTCTGTGTGCTTCGCCAGGACCTGGCTACACTGGGGACTTTAAATGTGGAGTAGATGCACGAATGGATACAGGATTGGGTACAAGCTGGGTGGATTGACTCAGATAATCTGAGGTCAGGGGAGACATGAAGAAAATGACTAATGTACTCTAAGGCTAGACAAAAGCTTTGTAATAGAGAAAATGCTTTTTCTGAAATCTGGGAAGTCTCTGTCATCAGGTAAGACTCAACAAGTCATGGGAGATGTCCAGTTACATAATGTCTTCTGTAGTGGTGAAAATACTCTCCCTCCCTACAACCATCCATTTATGTAAAGAGCACCCAGTCCGTTCTACAATTTCTCATCAAACTGAGGATTTAATTCTTGCTGTGGTCATTTTCTTCTTGTAATAGCTCTTCTTAATTCTATGGTACCAGTAGAAATCTAGTTGGGACCTTTATTTGATCTCTTAGAGTGGGTTCATGAAATTAAACACATCCTCTATATTTTATTTAGGATCTGTGAATCTCAAGGCTCTCCCAGACTCTCCTCCTATTTGACACAGATTCCTAAGAACTTCACTTTTCAGAAGTCTCCCTGAGCTGGCTAAGGTTGGCTCTGGACCACTGTGGAAATTCTAAAATTTGTGGTGTTTAAGGAATATTTTCTAGCCCAAACCACCAGTAGTTTTCCAAACAGTCCTTCAAGACATCATGCAGCTCTGGTTCCAAAAGGAACAAATTCCTAACCTCCCCCAAAAGGAACATTTCCCCAGTACAAATTATTAAAGCAACTTTGTGCCTTGCATCCCCTCCAGGGTAAGTTGAAGATGAATGAATTATGATCATTCATTCATAGAGGTGAAGCCAAGTACACTTCTTATAAGCAAGCTTACATAATGGTGTATTTCATACTTACTTTATTATCACATAGTAATGTATAATATTATATTTTAATAGTTGCTCAGTTACTATGAATATTAGCAGCCCCATGTAGTGGATGAAGTAGGATGACATGGTATTTCTTTTTATAGGATTCCCTATCAACTCAAATTCTAATGGTGGAAATGAACTCTGTCCCAAGGTCAGAATCGGCCAAGATGACTTGCCAGGCAAGTAACAATGTATACATTGAAAATGCATGTTCTCCAAACCAATATACTCTTGTATTTGAGTAAGTGTGTAAAGAAGTAAAACCACAATCTCACCGTGGATTTTCCATTTTGTATTTTCTTTGTATAGGGTTTGACCTGATTTCTCAGTTCCAGATAGAAAAAGCAGCATCTAGAAGAGCTATCCAAAGAGTGGTGGGGTCAACTGCACTGCAAGTGGCTTACAAGTTGGGAAATAATGTAGACTTCAGGATTCCAACTAGGTAATCTATCAAAAATGTTTAATTAGCTTCCTACAAAGCATATGGAGAGTTATACCTTGTTAGAAAATTTCCTCATATTTAATATTTCTTGGCTTATAATGTTATTTAAAGAGAAAAGACTTATTCAAGTATCAACCAGTAGTTCCTGAATGCTGCCCTGTATATTTTCAGTATGTAATTTAGTTTCCATTCCAGGAAAAAAAAAATCACTGAGAGTACTATATATTGATTCAGGACATGTTATTACTCTGCTTTCTGTTTTTAAATAATTTGTCTGGTTTTGACTGAAAGGACCCTCTGTGAAAAGTGCCAGGCGTTAAGCATAAATTTAACTAGAAACCACAGCAGTCTAAAGAGTCACAATGGTGCTGTTCAGGGGTTCTGGTGCTGAAATAGAAATCGGTCCATTGCTTAGCTGCTGGCAGATAAATACTGAAGCAAAATTAAAATTAGTATAACAGGGAAACAATGGAAGTGTTAATAATAAATCTTCCATTTCACTGATCTTATTTTCTACAGCTAAGCCTTTTATTCTTTAAATTATTCATAACTGAAGTACTTTAGTGCATGTGTGTGGAGTCACGCCACTGTTATTGTGAATGAACTTTAGGGACTTGGTTTTTGCATCACCTACATATTTTATTTGTGATGATCAAGATTATTATATGTTTTAATATTAAAATATATAATTAATATTTCTTTGGTAAGTCATCAAAAGATTAGGATTTGATGGACACTAACTTGTAAATGTAATAATGATTAATCAAAACAATAAAAGAATAGTATAGAAACTCTAAATGGCTATAAAATAAAAATTTTGTTCAATCTGATATAGTGCTAGATTGCAGATGCTATAATTTATAATAAGAATACTGTGTAAACCCTTCTTGTAAATTTACTAATTAATATTAAGCTCAATTTCTTCACAATCCTATGATGTGGCGACACTATTACGCTTATTTAGTGGAGGAGAAAACGAAGCCCTGAAATCTTAATTTACTTCCATGAGTTGGGAGATTTGAGACCTAGGCAGCATGTTCTTGGAGCTTATGCTTCTAGCCACTACTCCATCCTGGGCTTGGCGTTTGGATAGATTCACGTTTGTACAGAATCTCAGGTGGTCAATGATGACATCTACATTGGCCTTTGGTTTTGTTTTTGTTTTT